AAATATTTCAGGCACTCTTTGTAAAGGTTCTTATTTCAAAACAAGGAATAATTCGTCAAAATCTGTTTACCTCTTTCCTCAGCATTTCCATTTCAGGGGATAAATATTTGAATTCTGAGAGTAAATCAACTTCTTTTCGTAGAGCTTCACTCTCTTTAGATTCTCTATTCAGTTCTTTCTGTAGAAATAAGAACTTTTACAAAGAACACTTGAAGACTGCAGTAGTTAATATTTTGGTTGCTAAGTAGAATAAGCCAGTCCCCCCAAACCAAAGGCTAAATGTTTTCTCTGATATGCAGATACTAATTCTCAATAAGCAGGGGTACAGAGTTACTTTAGATTAGGTAGAGGGGAGTAGGTATGGGAGTAGGAAGGATAATACAATGAACCAGACAGTATTATACTATGTACATATATGATTTTTACATGACTGGTGTGATTCTATATTATGTTCAACCAGAGAATGAGAAATCCATTTATGTATGATGTGTCAAAGTGCAATCTAGTATCATTCATAACTAACTAGAACAAATTTAAAAAATAAAAGAATGAAATATAATAATGAAAGATTATTAAAAATTTCTGTTGATAATATATATCTTAAAGGTATTATGAGGAAAGTAGAAATCTAAAGTAAATCAAACCCTTGTATAAAATTATAGGTAATCCTTTTGGTAACAGATTAAACTGAACTCTACACAAGTTTAGTATAGAGAATTCTGAGGCAAACTATTTCAGTTATAATACTCAATCCTCCTTCTTAGTATTCAGAAGTTCTTTTAAAGATATTTAAAATACATCAAATCTCAGAAAACATCAGCTCTTCAAAGTTTGAACCAATACTTTTTTTGCCCTTTGCTTTTCAAATTGTAAGGGAAGTTATTTCAAAGAGAGAGTAGAGTCTTATAAAACTGTGAGTTATTACCATTGTGAATAACAAATAAAATTGAAATTACCATTACATATTTGGTGTTGGGATGTCAAAGAGAAAAATCTGAAATTAAATAACCTGTACCTTTTGCTGAAATTCATCTTTAGTTTTTCCTAGATTTTCTTCTAAAAGTGAGTTCCCAGAAGTTTCCTCAGAATTTTTCATTTTTAGTGTATTAATTGTTTCTTGGTGTTGTTTCAAAGACTCGAGAGCACTTCGTAACTGTTCTTGTGAATCTATGTTCTTGTTGAAGAAACAGAAAACAATTTCCATTTTATAGTGACCGTTTAATCATAGATAAGCAGTCTTATCAATGATGGCTCCTGTACCATGTTTGAAGAGGCTCCAATATTTGTAAAGTTTAATCATTCAAAGCCTTACCAGATTTATAGTGTCTTGAATATCACTTTTGAGTTGGTCTCTCTCAATCTGCAGGCTCTCCTGGAGTTGTTTTAGGTCATCTTTTTCTCGGGTTAAGGTTTTCACTTCTTCTAAGGCTTTCTGAAGTTTCTCAGTGATCAGTGTTGTCTCCTTTTCTACAGCTTGCAGCCTAGAATCTCTGCTTTCTAATTGTTCCTTCAGTTGTTCCACTTCATTTAACCTTTCTTGACCCTCAGTTGTTTTCTGCTGAAGCTCTTGAGTTTTGTGAGAAAGCTTTAAAATAAGAAAAAGTAAATATGACATAGTAAAAGCAGAGTTTGCTGTAGAAGATAGAAATCAAACTCAAGAAGACTGAAGATCATGTCTTTGGATATCATTTTGTACTAACCTCAGTCTTCAAAGCATCCAAACTTAAACCAAGATTCTCTGCTTCTTTAGAAAGATTTCCTATTTCCTGATTCATTCTTTCATTCTTTTTAAGGACCATTTTATATTTTTGCTCACATTCTATATGAAGGGTTTTAAAATCTTGAAATTCTTGCTCAGTGCTTTTATAATTCAACTGGGTAGTTGTTAGGTCATCTTTAGTTTTTTCAATTTCTTCCAGTAAACCTTGAATTCTACTCTCCTTATGAGCTACTTCAGAAAACAATTTGTCTTTTTCTGATGTTATTATAGAGAGCTCTTCAGATTTTTCATGGATCTATGGAAAAAATTTAGGGATGTTAGCAATGTATGATCTGCTGAATCAATTTTCAGGAAAACAAGTTTTCCTCTGGGGGAGGGGATCATTTAAATCAAGCAAAAATTTGACTGGGGAAAGGCAATATTCTTACTGTTATTTCTCTACCCTGGCCTGTTTAACTTTACCTTTAATGTTTTGTTCTCTAATGTCTTTGGGTTCTAGTAAGGATTGCATGGAGAAGGTCAACTAGTAGAAACAAGTAGGGTGTGTCTATGTTAGCTGTCATTCTAAAGTATTATGTGGCAGCAGGCATTTTATGTTTTTTCTCAGAATTTGACCTCTTTTAAAAAAAAGGTTTTGAATGCAGCTCAGATTTCTAAAAATTCAATTTATTTATAATTTAAATGATGTTTTATTATTAGAATTATCTAAAAAGCATTATTAAAATAATTAAGTAACCCACATCCAGTTCATGGATAGTTTAATAATTGTGAAAATAAGCTAGGAAGGAGATGAGAAGGTGGAAGGAGACTAAAGGAGAAACAAAGGAAAGAAGGTTATATAGCATGGTGGCTACATTCATGGCAGATTTCTGTCACTCAACTATTATTTTGAGAACTATTTTTTTTTGGATGAAAAGTAGCACCCTCTTTTGTACTTCTTCACCAAAAGGTTGAGAAGTGGTAGTGACTACTTATTGAAAGCTTATAGAATAATTAAAGAAAATGTTTCTAAGGTTCTTTATTATGAAGCTTGCCATAAAGTAACCACTCAAATTCTTGTTATTTTAAATTGTGTTTTAGTTGTCAGTGAACCTTTAGTTTACTTATTTATTTGTGGTGCTAAGGATTGAACCCAGTGCCTCACGCATGCAAGGCTTGAGTCATAATCCCACCTCTTGTTATTATTATTATGTTTTAGAAAAGTAGAAAGGGAAAAGTTGGTGGGCTCTGGACTTAAGAATCATTTCCTAGTCTAAAAGATTTATACTGATTCATAAAGCTTTATTA